TTCTCTTTTTATACTGTTTTTTTTTTTATTTTACTAAGGTAATGCCACTGGTGTTCATCCATCTGGTAGCACCTGGGAGAACATTTTCTTTCTTTTTAAGGCTATATAATTATAAATATTAAGGCTACATAATATTCTGTTGTGTATGACCTTGTGCTTAATCGATAGACTTGCCAACAGATATCTTCACCACCTTGAGGAGATATAATACTGTTATGAACACAGGCAGACACCGTTTCTTCAAGACTCTATTTCCAAGCTTTTTGAATATACACCCAAGAGTGGGACTATATGATCGATCATATGACCTCAGAGAGGTTTACCCAGTATTTAAGGGGCATGGTCCAGAAAACTGAAGTGTAGGTCAGACTTCAGGTCATACTTAAGCATAATCTGTGGTTCATGTCTTGAAGGGCACCAAATTCAAGAAATTACACAGACTCAGTTAAGAGAAATTTAAGAAAACACTGTGTGTTATGAGTGGGAGGACGGCGGTAGAGATTATATTTGAAGGCAAGGACCCCTGGGTGGTGACTGCGACCATGGTGCTAAACGGTGAGACAGCCAAGCTCTCGAGGGTCAGGATGCCACAGAGCTGACAGTAGTAACACACTGTCAACTAGGCTGGCATGTCAGACTAACGAATGCCCAGTGTTGGTTTATTTCAGCTGAAGCCTGACAAGGCTATGTCCCTGGAGTTATGTGGCTACAGACACAGTTCACCATGCAAGAAAAGAAAATATATATTACATAGTAGTCCAAAGGTTTGGCCAATGTCATGGTACATTCTGTGACGGTCACTGATATACTGTATGACCATTCAGAGAGACATCTAACGAGACAGATAAAGTTGTAAGAAGCCTAAATATATTCTAGAAGGTAAGCCTACGCTTACAGGTTTGCCCCCTCTTTGTTCTTTCCTTTAGTTTTAAGGAATTTTTGGGGAAGGAGCACTACTAAAATCCAACAATCCAGTGCTGTCTATAAACACTTGCTCATCCCAGTAGGGAATTATGGAAGCCACTTCATACAAGGAAAATCATTAAAGCCAATTTAGTATTGGTAATGGCAGAGCACAGTGTTATGTTCTGGCTTCCTTCGTGTCTGAAATTTACATCTCACTAATGGACTGATTGCTTTCAAAGACCAGTTATCAGGCAGACCGCTCTCTGAGATCATAAAAGCAAGGTAATGACAGTGTTTGAGAATTCCCAAGTGCAGATAAGTGCATGTTTCTAATACTATACAGCCTTCCTTCAGCCCCTGTGCCCACACTGGGTGACACTTCATTCTGTGTCAACCGCTAGTATGACAAAGACCTTGTTTTAGCAAATGTTTATAGCTTAGTTCACATAAAATAATAGCTTAGTGTCCGGAATTGTTTTTTTTTTTTAAATTGACTAGCATCATTTCTTAGCACACAATACAGTACCTACTTTTGAGAAGAACGAGTTGGCAAGCAAGAGCTGATGAATGAAAAGTTTACTCTCAAGGTAAGCCATAAGCTGAAAAAAGTAAGTTAAGCAAGGAGAAGACATTTTATAACTAAAGCACACTTAATATGCTGTCATGTCACCTGAGTGAGAGGTCACAATAAAATGGTGAAGCAGTCAGCTGAAACCAAAAACAATGGCCCAGAAGTGTACCGCTACTACTATTACTACTACTAACAATAATAATAATGTTTATGCTATGTACAGTAGTGGTCACTTCCTTAAATATGTGCTATGAAAGTATCTAATTGAATTTCTAACTAAAGGTTGTCCATAGTCTCTGAAGGAAATGGGAACTGAGTACAGATTCATGCTTGAGCTGCAACCTTGCTTATTGCAAAGGCATCCTGCTGTTTGCAAAAAGCCAGAAAAAGACAGCAAAGGACAGCACAGAGAAGAGCAGAAGGGGACTCTGGGTACAGAAAATAAGATGTTGAAACCTGGGAGATGACAAAGAGAGAAGAGAGGAGAAAAAGAAGGGGAGGGGAGGAGAGATCCACAGAGAGAATTTGATATCCAGAAAATCATGAGGTCATTATAATATTCAACCAATTATCATAATTGTTTGTAATGTTAAATTAGCGATTAAAATTTGTTTCTAAAATGAGGTTACGTCAGTTATCCAGAAAGTTCATTCCAACAAACAAAACAAAACAAAAAACAAAAGTAACTTTCTAGTAATAATATTAAGAGTAACTAGCATGCATTCAGCGCATCTTCTCACATCTTCTTGGCAACGCTATGAGGCAAGCTCTAGGTTATCCCCATTTTAAAGGGTAGGCTGAGATAACGAGAACAAAGAATTCATACTATCTTACAGCAAGCCACTGAAGAGATATGTGTGTGTTCTTCTAAGCATGGCATATGCTACCAAATGGACAAGAGGGAGGGAGAACCAAAAAGGCAGAGTTTAGAGGAAAACTAGGAAGGAAGAATTCCATGGGATCGGCAGGCCAGAGATGAGTATCTACTGATACAGCACATACACCCAAAAGCTTGATACACCTGCGCCAACCACTGGCTGCTTTTCCTATAAAGCACCCACTCCTCCTTCTCTGTGCACACAAGGTAACTGAACGCAGGATAACAGCCTGCATCGCTTCCCTTCTCTCTCTACTCTGTGCTGTGGGTCAGAGTCCTGTTTAATTCCTCACAGGTATGTTAATTGTTCACGGAATATCTATCTAGCAACTTGCCACACTCAACCCAGAGGACTCCTCATCAAGGCCAAAGCCACACAAACCAGAGCTGCTGTCGTACACCTCCAGCTACCTTGGATTTCAATTGCAGCCAAGTCCAGTAGGGCAGACCACCCCTAAAGGGAGACAAGTATCCATGATAGCCAGACTGCATCCTGGAGCAGTTCATGGGACCAGCGTGTCCCTCTAAGAATAAAGAGTTCTTCAACCACTGCCAAAGCAGAACCGAGACAGTAAACGAGACACACTTTGACCCAGAATTCTCAACCATGCATCCGTGTTGCTTCCTGCTACAGTTCTTCTGCTCCTTAAACTGAAGTCCATGCCGACACCTCAAACAGACCTGGGATCACATAACCCCATTTTTCATTTTTGTCAGCATGGTCACATTGGTTAAATATGCTTACTGTGCTTTTCTATCCAGTAGTCTCTAACTAGCATTTAGAGTGGGTGGCCAAGACTATCTTTTTAAAACCCCCAAAACTGGGACACTGACCCTAATGTTGAAATAATTCTCCTCTTGTTCTGGACCAGTAACTCACCACACAGTCCTTATAGAGTTTAACATCAGAGCATAACCTTCCCTCTCCACAGCCCTGCATTTCACGAAAATATGACTCTATTATATCTTAAAATATTTCGAGACTATGACAGTACTCCATAAGGCCTGCCATTGTCAGTCGGTCTGAATCTTGGTCCAATCGGCTGCCTGAATGTTCATCAGCAGAAACAGATCTAGGCTCAGAGCTAATTCAGTACAAGGGGAATATTTGAGCTTTTGACCTCCCTAGAATTCAGACATGGATAGGAACAGTTTGAAGCAGCTCTCTCCACAGGCACCTTAGAGTTCACCTTAGAAAATAGCTTTAGGAAGGCAGGGGGAGAGAGTGTTTGGGGTATAGCCAAGACCTTAGTCTTTGAGTAAGTGTCACTTCTAAATCCAAAGAAAAATGATGCGTTTGCACTTCACACTGCTTTAGACACCATAAAACATTTTCCCTTAATATGTGCCTTGTCTGGCCCTCCCACAACTCTATGAGGGTATAATATATTTTTTTTTTTACAACAAAAAGTGGGCAGGGAAAGCTCAGGTATTAGAGCCTGTGAGAACCAAAGACCGGCAGCCAGGCAAGACAAAAATCCAGCTCCTTGTAGCTGCCTTTTTGGTTACGGAGGGAACTCAGAACACACAGGATCCCACTGGTTTGCATTCAATATCAAGTTGCTGTTAGTGATGGGAATCTGAAATCTGACAAGGAATGGAGTATGGTATAGTTTATCATTCCAACACAAACTAAACTAAAACTGAACCGAGAAAGATATTTTCAGAACCTATGAATCAATTTTTAATCAACGTCTTCCAGGTTTGTGGGCAAACACGGCACTGAAACAAGCCTACAGAGCGCTATTACTGAATGTTATTAGCAGTTCATACTTGTTTTTAGAGAGGACAAAGGAGACAGGACACTGGCTTAGAAAACAGTTCAGAACAACTAGCAGCATCCTCTTATTACAGTCCTCCGTCTCTTTGAAGAATGAGTCAACACATAGAGATTTACTCTAAGAAATGATGCTGCAGTTCTCGCCAGTGTGTGGCTGGGTCTGCCTCAGATGTTTAGTTTCGTTTTAAATTAGGGCTGGACAGGTTATGGCTGGAATTAGACTTCATTCACTCACTATGTTCAAGGTTTACTCTCTTTCAGTTACTTGTTACCAAGCATCCTAGGCAGATAGTTTCTTTTGAGGGACTGAGTGGCTCAGGAGAGTAAGTGTGTAACATTACAAACAAGGCTCTCTGCATCTCTGTCCTCAGGGTTCCTCGATACAGCACTGTAGTCACCAGAGAAGTGTCAACCTGCCCACTCCAGACTTCATAAAAAGCAAAGATCTATCCCTTACCCACCTATCCATGAATCTTTTAGGGCCCTAAAGTTTGAGGCATCCTGAGTTCAAGCCTAACAGCTCTGCATTGGCGCCTTCCCCCAGCTCCCATGCTGAATTCCTCATTGCTACTGTGATGAAGTCAATAGTGAAGCCTTTGGTAGAGGACTCAGAGCAAGCTCTTCTGAGAAAGGCCCCTTTACCATGTGTGTCCTCACAGAAAAGATGGACATCTATGATTTCAGAAGTACACCCTTACTAGACAGCAAGTCATGGACACCATGACCATAGGCTGTCCAGCTTCTAGAATCATTACAAATACTTTTTAGTTGTTTAAGTCAGTCAGTCTTTCATGTTTTATCACTGCACCCAAATTGACTGAGACATGGGTCCATTACAAAATTTGCTTGAAAATACAATTGCTTACCGCATGCCCACATATCCACTGGTTTTCCATAAGGATCTTTACGCAGAACTTCTGGAGAAAGATAGCCAGGTGTGCCAGCAAAACCTAGGGAAAAACAGATGCTCATGAGTCAGGATGGGCATGACAACGTAAGTGAGAAATGGCCAGCTAAGAAAGAATGATTTAGGGACTTCTTCAAGATAAACTCTGCCTGTCCTACCTTGTAGATCATTTAAAACACACACACACACACACACACACACACACACACACACACACACACACACACTGGTGGTGTGGAGGTCAATCTACTATAATATGCGGACACTACTTTTGTTTACATGTTCTGACATCACTTATATTGAAGCTTAAACTACAGCTGTAAAGAAATAATGAGAAAACTGGAGGCAGATTAGTTCTTTGCAAAAGATGACACCCAAATTCCTGTGATAATCAGAGGGGGACAGAACACCTACATACTATGGACAAATCAAAAGCAGATCTTCAGAAAATGTTTTTTTAAGAGACAGCCTTTAGTACAGGACCATGAGGGTGGATAGGGTTACCAGTAACTGAAAGACTCATATTCGGAGAAGAAATAAGCCCCGAAATATATCAGTTCAATGTATACTAATAAATAGTTGGCAACTAAGAGGAGACTCAAGGACACTCAGATGAATCACCGCTGAACGCCAACCAATGAGACCGCCAACTCCAGAAGACACAATGAAGAGGGATGATGGCAGACAAACCTCTGTATTATATAAAGCAGTGTAGAATTCAATAATGAATGCTTGAGCAACAATAAAATCTGTAACTAGACTCAAGTGGAAAATATTTTCTATTCCTGAAAATGAGTTTTTCAAGTAAAGAATACTTAAAAAATAACAAAGGTAACTATGTTCATTTGGAAGTGTTCTTTTAAAAGGCAATAGTAAAAATTGAAAATGGAAAGTTTCTTTAAAAACACACACACACACACAATCAGAAGATTGTCTGACCATAAACTACTGCCAAGTCACAGTCTTTATTTACCAGGAGGCAAAGTATCAAAGAAATGAATGAGTCCTCATTTCTGCAATGAAGTTATACTTACTACTTTAAAACAAAAAGAAGTATAAGAGAGAAGATGGATGGCTGAGTCACTTCTCTAGCAAAATTGGATTAAATTTAAGCCAAGGGATTTTTTTTGGCTAATCTTCATTCATTTTTGTACTTTTCTCATCTGTTTGGAAGAAAGTGATGGACCATGAGAAAGAACTCCAGGATATGGTCCCTCTGCGCAGTTTAAGTTTTACAAGGCATCATGAATCCACTGAGGTTCCACGCCTGTAGCTCAAGGATTACCTAAAGACATAATGTAGTATCATTGCAAAGTAGGGGTGGGTACAATTGTTGCAAGAAGCTTTAAAGTAGTCAGCTATATGGTCCTTATCCTTTCCATGCTCACCACTCCTTTCCAACTCTTGAATGATACACAAAGAGAATCCAGTGAGAAACTCATCTAAAGTCTAATGAAGACTGGTGTCCTGAGTGCGTGCATTCAGATCCCTCTCACACATCCAGACTGGTTTGATTTCGAGCATATGACCTGACTAGCCTCTTCTAGTTACCTTGGAAACGAATTTCTCATTCTTATAATGATGCTAATATTTGCATCTCATTTTTGTTCCATCATTGGTCTCATTAGATGTGTATATTTGTCTCCTTTGATTTCACTCTTGTAAGAAATCCAAGTATTCCACAATCGAAAACTAGTCAACTTCAATTTGTCTTAAGTCACCTACTAATAACAGCTGGCCAAGTGCAGGAGAGTTAACGATAGTCTCCTTGGAGAAAACATAAAAGAAAATTACTACATAAGAGTAAGAAATGAAAAGGCCAAGTTGAACATGGCAACCCATGTGTATAAAATCCCAGCATTTTGGGGTACTGAGATCAGAGGAGTGTGGATTTAGAACCAAACTGGATTGTAAAGTGATAAATAATTAAGTATTCCAGATATAAACTATTTGAACCCTCACTCCGAGACTAAAGTGCCACGAGAATGCTATCATTATTAGCCTTACTGAAACCCCCATCACTTGAGCTGCCAGTTGGTCCTAGTCCTGAATATTTGAAATCATACACAATACACTGAACAATGACCTCATGAATACAGCATTCTGGAAGACAGTAAACAAGGTCTTCTTCACCAGGGAATTTAAGAATGTAGGATTGTTAGGATAAATGCTATCAAGGTTAATAAGAACTTGCTCTCTCCAGAGATAGCTTGACTTTTACTTCAAAGAACTAATAAGAGTATCAAAACAGACAAAGAAAGAAACAGAAGTATCAACTGTCGGAAATATATCCATTAGATTGTCTTCACATTCATAGAATCACTTAATATTTAAAATGAGAGGCATGATAGTAACTAAGAAACTCTTCCATGATGCAAGATACTGGTAGAGCCTCTGTTGCCATAGCAACAATATGATGCTAAAATAATATTGTATCTATCTTTTGCATCCAGTTCCATAGGACAAATGGGATGTATGTGGAGATTTCTGTGGAAATTTATTTTATTTTTTTACACTTTGATCAAATGTATTACATTGGATGCTAATTCTCATTCTCATAGTTTTGTCCACTATTTAAAGAGACCAGAGTTAGAGAGTGAATAGTGAATAAAAGGAAAAAAGTAGGTGAAACTAAAAATGAGAATTAAAATAAAATAAAAGGTTTGTTTTCATTTTTCAGTATGCACCACAACGTGTGTGCCAGAAGCCCACCTCAGGTGTAGTTTCTTAGGCACCACCCACCTTACTCTCTGAGACAGGGTAAGTCAATGGTCTAGAGCTCACCGAGGAGGTTAGGCTAGCCTGTCAGTGAGCTCCAGGGTCCTTCTGTCTGTCTCTTTTTCCCTAGTGTGGGGGTTAAAAACATGAACTACCATTTCTAGATTAAATAGGAAAAATTCTATTTACTACTACCGTGAAAGTACTCCTACTAATTCTTAGAACAGAATCCCTTTTACTGTGAACTTTTAAAAAAGGTATACATGACTTGTTTTCACAATATTTTCTGATTTAGACTAATTTAATAACAGGTCCCACGTTTTAGAATTAGAGAAGATGGTAGCTGCTGGATGATCATTGCTACCGTCCTCTGGCTCGAGAGTGGTGTCAGGAACCTGGAGTTCCAGGCTCGGAGAGCACAGTTACACGAGGGAGAACAGCCCTACTCACCAAACCACGCCTGCTGGTCGCCTTGAACTTCTATGGCTAAGCCGAAGTCTGCCAGTTTCACAGCTGCTCCTTTGGATTTGCTAGCTAAAAGCAAATTCTCAGGCTTTATTTAGAAAGAAAAAGAGAGAGACAGACTAAAGTGAGCATCTATTTTAAGCAACTACTTAAAATGACCGGCATTTGTACAAGATTAAACGGGGAGGTGGGGCTTGGGAAACAAACACATGCACTGTTGTTTCTTGTGGCGATTTCCATTCCTAAACCCCAGGGAAAGGATGGTTAGAGAACTATGGAGAGCAGCCATGGGTGCAGGCTTCAGACAGATGCACTGGATACTGCAGAGGCAATGGCGAGGGACGCAGTCAGTAGAGCCTCTGACTTCACCTGCTCACATGCCTCCAAGGACCATTCATGTGCACATTTGGCCACTGACGCGGACATTAGCAGCCTAACAAAGCAGAGACATTTTCAGCAGGAGGAAACCTGGCAAGATGATCACCAGAGCTGGACCAACCTACAGACATTTGGCAAATGAAAAAGCAAATTAAATCCCACTTGATTTGTAGGAGTCTGGATTCAAACGTAGTGATTTTGATTCCTCAATGTTTCCAAACAATTTCTGCACAGATTTTAGAGACTTACTCTGAATTATGAATTGAAATGTCTGTCTTTAAGGATCTGCTTATTCTTAAAGGCAGAAAGAGTATACTGTTTGCCAAATGTTATAGTTAGCTTTAAACAAAAATTTATAAGCCACTTTTTACTGTGTAACTTACATGCCTTTAAAGTGTGACTAAAATATGCGGATACTTATTCTCCCACCTAAAATATTGCGGGAAAGATACACTTTTCTTCGTTATCGATCCTTACTCAAGGACTGACAAAGCAGTCTTGGAACGAGGCTGTGTCTACACCATTGTTTCCCAACCACACTGGAATTTTGAAAACCAGCATCGAGATAGAGCCTTCAATTTCCCTGGTAGTCCTCATGGATTCTCAGGAACAGAGTGGGGGTGTGGTTAGGAGAAGAGTATTGAATATTGTGTACAGTGAAGCCTTGTCCCCAGATATCTGGATCAGCACACACACGGGAGAATGGTCCAAGGTCTTCCTGCTTTGGATAACAACCCATAAATTTTGAGTCTATGTCTCCACCAAAATAGTTGGGAAACAATGGCCCTTCCAAGTACCAAAACTGTTCTCTATAAATATGAAAATGTTATCAGCCAAATGACTTTGTTCATGTGTTGACAAACAAGTTTCCATCAATTTGATTTCTCTCTCTCTTTGTTGGATTTGTCAGTTTCGTGGGTTGTTTTGGACTTGAGTAAACACAGCCCATGCCAGTATTTATTAATCAAGCCAGCCATGCAAGACAGCAACACCCATAAGCAGAATTTAGAAGAGATTAGGTTAAATCTATAAGAAATTAGAGGGCGAGCAAGCAAGTTTCAGTTAAATACCAGAATTCTTCAGGCAATTGCTGCCCACTGCCATCAGATTCACTACTATTGTGACCACTGGACATGTGAAGGGACCTTGGTAGCTTTTCAGGGTTGAGTATGATTTTGAACTAAGTCAACATCAAAAACATCATTTAATTTGGAGTTTGAGATGATCATGTTTCAAGAATATTAAAGTCCTTCAGCTGATGTAACTTTTACTATGATTTAATGTTTGAAATTGGAACCCTGGATATTTATCAGTGTGCTAATGTATTTAATCAGGCTAAGTTATTTACTTTTGACATTTTAATTTCATAACGAAAATTTATGGTCAACTAACTACCTTTCCATTTTCTAATTTAATCGACATCATTTTCTACTACTTATTTATGGAATAAGCAACTTAGACCAAGCACACTGAACTGTAGACAACATTTGATTCCCCTTCTTGGAACTTTCACATTCCAAAGGACTGAGATTTCAGAAACGCCTGCTCATATACTCCAATCTAATTTGCCAACCACATTCAAGGAAAAAGTTCCAATCACTTAAGAAATCAAGGTCGTTTAGAACCTTTGGTACAGAAGCTACTTGAGCAAATGCCAGTGTCATTAGTGAGTAAAGTCTTTTAAAATTTAATGTGCCTTTACTCTCCCCACTACACTAAAAGTTTCTGGGCAGGCCTTTATGCACAATGCCCTGAAAACTCAAGTCTCTGACTGCGGCAGTATTCGTAGCTAGAGACGACCTAAAAGACCTCACTCTAGGAGGCATGAGTCATCCAAGAAAATAGGAATCCATTTGTATGTGAGTTTCACCTGGCACCCATGAAGACTGTTCAGCAGCAGCTATGGACAGGAGAAGGCAGGCCTATTTCCAAGGGATGGGATACATTTTCAAAGTAAGAATTAAAATTAAGATACATTTTAAATCAGACAGCTTTGCATCTGTGTATATCACTTGGGGAAAAATAACATAGAGAATATGGAATGGAAGCTTAAAAGTTAGAACAGTTTTTTGATTTTATTACAGGAGTCTGCTTTTTATTATTTCACTTGAAGATTACTTTAAGTGGCTAGCTTTAATAAAACCCTTAAAATGTCATTCTAATTTTACTTCTATAGAGTTTCTTTCTACTTTTTAGAAAGGGCAGTTAGAATAATTTGTCTATCCTGGTCTATGGGGGTGCAGGTGGCTGACTCACTAATAATTTCTAAAGAAACTTCTAATGGGAACTGGCATATTTGGTTTTCACTCCTAACTTTCATCTTGAAATTATATTGTTCTATAAAAGTCCACTGCTGAGTAGTTGAGACTCTGAATGCCTAAGAAAGGAACATTATCTGTTACCCGGTTACACCAAAACAGAATAGAATGGTGGTGCGTGCATGGCTGCCTCCTTAGGAAGGATTTCTACCACATAACAGTTGCGACTATCTACAATGAATGTGATGGACAGGATCAGAAGCAGAGATCTTCCCACACACCTGCATATGAACACTGACTCAGCAACACGAGTGAAGTGGGTAGAACGATGAATTAGAAAAATAAGTGAATTCGAAACTCCTGTCTTGACTTCATTTTGATGCTGCAGACTTGGGCAACCCATTGACCCCTGTTGTTGATTGATCACTTCCTTCATCTCTCAAATGGTATCATGAGGCTACTGAATTGTATCTCATGACAATATCTAGTGGATGTGTATCATAAGAACACCATACTTTGCAGGGACAATATACACGTTGGTGATCAGGTATTACAATCCCCTGGGGCTGGTCATTTCAACATGTGGAAACATTTTCAATCTGTAATGCATGTTTAAAACTGAAGAAATGTTCATATTAATCCCTAGGTTAGCCTGTATACTTTGTAAGGGTCTCTACGCTCTTACAATGCCATCACTTTTTAGGTTGGTTTTAAAATAGCGTCTCCTGACATTCTCACACATAGGTTTCCTTCCCCACCCCATTTCTTCCTAATGGTGGAGGATTTTCCATGACATCTGGTCTCAGTGTCAACAACCATTTATAGCATATCAGCTGCAATGAGGAGCAACTGTGTACAAGTTTTGTTCTGTGTTTCCATATGAATATGAAAGCAATAGCTTCCAGGAGAATGTAAAGAGTTATTAAAATTATTCAGATATCTTGAATTACTTAAGCGAGTTGTGGAACTGCCTTCAGAACTAGTGGAAACTTGGAAACGAAAATAATTCTCAAGCCCCTCAGTTTATAAACGGAGAAATGTCCAAAAGAAAGAGTCCAGGACTGGGTGCTAGATATCTTAATTGTCCCAGTTTTGAGCACATAGGTGTGTGTACATGTGTGTGAGGGGGGGTATGGGTGCATGTACATGTTCACATAGAAGCCAATATGGAATGTTTTGCTCTATCACACCCCACTTTGTTTTTGGAAACAGGGTCTTCCACTGAACATGGATCTTGGTGAGTGGCTATGCTGGCTAGCCAGTGAGCCCCTGGGATCCTCCTGTCTATGCTTCACAGTGCTGGGGCCACAGGAGTGCACAACCAGACTTTTATACTGTGTTAGTGATTCAGAATCAGTTCCTCATGCTCAGACAGTAAGCACTTTACCCACTGAGACATCTCTTTAGCTTTTACATAGGCTCACAGATTTGAATACTTGGTCACCAGGGACACTATTTGAAAGGATTAGAAGGTGTGACCTTGTTGGCAGAGTGTGTCACTGGGAGTGGGCTTTGAGGTCCATTCTAGGCCCAGAGTCTCTCTCTTCTTGTTGCCTATTGATTTGGATGTAGAATTCTCAGTTATTTCTCTGGCACCATGTCTGCCTGCATGCCACCATGCTCCCTCCATGATGATAATGAACTAAACGTCTGAACTGTAAGCAAACACCAACTAAACACTTTCTTTCTAAAAGAGTCCCTGTGCTCGTGGTGTGACTTTACAGCACTAGAACATTGACTAAGAAAGTATTGGTATTCCATTCTGATGATATAAAAATGGTTCATTTTCATAGGGCAGTCTATTTGGTAGGTATTTAGAAGACACTTTTGAAGTAATCAAAAATTAATTGCCATTTATATCTAAATAAAACAAGAGAAAACCTAGGAAACATAAGACATGATCTTAATCTTGAGTCTTTAATTAGCACCATCTTTATTAGGAGATTAATCTGAAAACACAGTGACCACATGAGCATTAGTCACAGAGTTTATCCGGCATGCATGTGATACATGTCAAATAAGTGCTTACTCTAAATATTTTTATATTTTATCATAAAAGACATGATTTTATTGTGATGTATTGATTGTCAAATTCCCCTAGATAGTATTTGTAATGAATTATAGTGTTATTTTATTTATGTTTAATAAATTAAGTTTGCCTAAAGATCAGAAGGGCAAAGCTAAGCCACTGGAGGTCAGGCAGTGGTGGTACACACCTTTAATCCCAGGATGTGGGAGGCAGAGGCAGATGAATCTCTATGAGTTCAAGGCCATCCTAGGCTACACAGAACAATGTGGAAACAAATCAAGGTGGTGGCAGCTCACACCTTTAATCCCAGTACTAGGGAGTCACACACCTTTAATCTGAGCACTAACTGGGAATATAAAATGGGAGGAGGCAGAGGCTCAGGGCTCAGCTGCAGTTGGTAGAGGGAAGACTTCTCTAGTGGCT